CGAGCGAGCGCTTTTGATAATGCCAAGCAAAACTCACAAGCAGCGAAGCAAACAAAAAAATCAGCAAGATTTGGGATCGATTTACACAGAAAGGATATGCCTTGATAACGTGTGCCAAAAATTGCATTTTGAACATGTTTTCGGGGTTCCCGTCTAGAAAAAACAAGTGCTGTCTTACCATTGATGCCACCTTGCTTGCTTGATAAGATATCGATTTTGGAACACAAGGGGAATGCATTAATTTTGCAAAAATGCATCACATTGCCGTTGATTTTTTTTACCACCTTGCTGCGGTGGTCAATTTGCGTCAATACGGAGGAATCGATGTTAGATAGGTTCAGAAGATCGTTCAATGAAATTAGATCAGCAGGCGAACAAAGATCAAAGGGAATCCAAGACAAAGTGTCTCCGCCGGCGTTCGAGTATATCCTGACAAATTGCAGCGCAGGGTAAAAAGGCTCCGTAAACACAATGGGGTAGATGACGGCCTCGTTGGATTTTACCGATTCGTGTAGAAAATCAAGAAACTTGCAAATTTTGAGAATCTTGGAGTGGTTTGCTAGCGGTCTACAAATTGAACGCCATTTAAAATACCATAGAACACTCAAAATAAGAAACAAAATTATTTGAACCAAAAGAATGTCCGGAAAAGAGCATTCAACCAGTGCTGTGTGAAAAGCAGCCAACAACGCTACAACGAGCATTTCACAAACCACAACTCTATGAGAAAAATCTGGATGCGTCACTAGCTCATGCACAAATTTGCATGCCAATGAGGTAAACGCACGGATGTTCCCGTTCGAATACTGCGGTTTGGAGAGCACGCTTTTGCGAACTGCTACAGAAATTGATTGAAATCTCCTGTGCAGATCAACATTGTTCATTAAAATTAAACCTCAGGCAAGCCAAAGTAAATGTTTGAATTTAATTTGAAAATTTTTATTCAAAGCTAATTGGCTTCAAATGACTTTGTTGTGTATCGAGAAAAATTTGGATTCAACCGGTTCAGGCACCCCGTCCCTGACGAGTGAGGCGGCAAAACAATCCTATCCATTGAAATATCCTTGGACCATGTATTATGATACACCTAATAAACGCACTACCCAGGAAAATTACAACACCAATCTACAGGCTCTTGCGACGGTTGATTATGTTTACACAGCTTGCTACATGATACAAAACATTCCAGATGCTTCTGAACTGCCTAGTGGCACCAGTCTTTCGTTTTTCAGATCCGATATTAAGCCCTCTTGGGAAGATTCACACAACGCCAATGGTGGCAAATGGACTTGCTCCATTCATAAAGATGGCTCGAAAAAGATTTCAAAACTATGGAAAGATGCCATCTTCAGCTGCATCGGGAGCGAGTATGAACACCCGGAAACCATCAACGGGGTTGTCTTGAGCATTCGACAGAAAACCGATAGAATCGCCTTTTGGATTTCCGATGCCTCGCACGACGATGCGCTGAAGCATATTGCAAGCTTCATCAAAACTTATCTCGAGCTTCCCGCTGACTTTACCTTATCGTTCCAACTGCATGCCGATGCCCTCAAAGGGAACTCCAGAGATCATTTGATTTTTTAAGTTCAGTAAAATAGTTACATTGAAGTTTATTGTCCGTAAAAATTTCAAGCATTTTTTCCACTTGTTCGTTCGGGAAACGCTCATCGCACTCCTCTATGATCTAGGGGTTAGGGTCCAAGAAAACTACCATGTGCAGTTCAATGATCGACTTTGGTAAAAAGTTTATCATTTGAAGGCGCTCGCTTTTAGTCAACGCAAACAGGGAAAGTTTAGATAAATATGCCGATATCTTCTGGGGATCCTGGCCAATTGAAGGGGTCGTTTCCAAGTACTGTSGGGTCTAAATCTCAAAATGCACACAAAATACCTCAAATTCAATGGTAAGCACATTCTGGGGGCCCAGGTCCCGAATATTCTCGCTTCTTTTTGCATTCCTAAACCGAGATTCCCGCAAGTTTTTTTGAGCCACAAGATGGCCATGCACCTCAAAGTTTGATAGCAGAGACTCGCATTCATTTAGGATTTCCATTTAAGAATTTAAAATTCAGCTCGAAACTTGCGAACCCCTAACCCTAAACCACATGCTGGAGCATATCGTTTCGTGGTAAATGCGAGTGTATGGCCACGGTATCGCAAATTATGCCATGTATCGAGCCCTATGACGCGGCAGCTATAATTGGACCGATTTTTTGGAAAGAAAATCGATCAATGCGGGATGTAGCGCCGGAAAGGCAAAAATATAGTGCGGATAAACAAATTCAGCTCGCTCGACAGCCGCAATTGCTAAAACGGCGATTTATTCGACGCCTTAATATCAAGACTCCTCGACGCACAAAGTGTTTTTGCTTGCAACAGATAGCCTTGATAACGGCAGTACAAAAGCTATCTTTTTGCAATAAAAGCAACCGTTTCGGTTGAATGTTTTTACATTTTTTAAATGGCTACTCTGCTAAGCCAAGGGGCCGAAGCAAAGATCTTTCTATATCTTACTGGGCCTAGTTCGTCTCAAAAAATGGAAGGGAAGCCAAATAAACTGCCTCTCGGACCTTTTGCTGGAGATTTCCCTGCCATAATGAAACATCGGTTTACTAAAACTTGGAGAAATCCTGCCCTCGATTTTAGGCTAAGAAAAGCTAGGCATAAGCAAGAGGTGGGATGCATGGTAAAGGCCTTCGAGGGAAATCTTCCTGTCCCTCGAATTTTAGGTCAAGATCCGGATGAAATGGTTATTTGGACCGAGTACATTGAAGGCGAAACCCTAAAGTCATCCCTTACTTCTGGATTCCTTAATGCTTCTGACGGTCATTTTCCAAGTTTTTATTGATTAGTTCTTTACATTTTCCCGCAAATAGGGACCATAGTGGCCAAACTACATGATTTGAATATTATCCACGAAGACCTGACGTCGTCCAACATGATGATCAGGAAAGAGGACAAAAAACTGGTAATTTCCTCTCCCTTTCCTCTTATTGTAGTTTCTGATTGATTTTGGTCTTTCTCATATCAGTCTCTCCATGGAGGACAAAGCAGTGGATCTGTACGTTTTGGAGAGAGCGTTTATAGCAACGCATCCGATGTTGCAAGACAAAATCCAGCTCATATTAGATAGCTATTTTGCACACACAAAAAACTCAAAGCCAGTGTTGAAGCAGCTGGAAACAGGTAGTTTAGTTTTATTAAATGCAGTTCGGGCCAGGGGACGTAAACGTACCATGGTGGGGTGACGAGTTCAATAAAGCTATACAGGCCCATAAGCATAATGATTGTACATACAAAGGGGAATGTCGTCGATTGTGGGGATGGTCGTTGACAAGGGAGAATAAAAGACTGATCGCGCATCGCCGTTGACAGGGGGACAGTAGCTAAAAATATCATCGAGCGATACTTTTGGATCTTCTGAAAACACAAAAATCGAGGTGGCTGGTGGCGTCATTAGCAGCATGTACCCCACATGGAAAATCACAAGACAAAGGAGCGCCACAATCACATATGTGGGGAGAGTAATGCACCAAATCCTATGATGAGAAAAAAGATCAACCCCACTTGCTTGGATAATATGTTATTCCTATGGCGTCAAAGAAGTATGAGGGAACATACGCAAAGACAAGCACACCGGCAAACGACACAAATGAAATCAGGTAAAGCGCAAATCCGTAAAACTCCAGTGAATTCTGCGGATTATCCATGGCCACTTGGAAATGATTTAAAAATTAACCCCCCCCCCCATTTGACGTTTGCGGCAGCAGCACACATGGTCGTATGTTTGAAAATTTCCTTAATTTATTTAAAAGCTTGATGGCCGGATTTTTTCAAGTGCTGGAATAGAGAATTTCTGGAAGGAAATGAAGATCTACAGGTGTGACAAATGTGCGCGGCCGACTTTTCAGCATCGCGTTTTTTCTTGGCATTTTTTGTTTTCTTTTGGCAAGGTTGAGGAGCAGAGGTGGATTTTGGCTTTATTTTGGGGGGCTTCTGGCCTTTGCCCCACACCGAGACTTCATTTTCATCTGAAGAAATACACAATGAATCTAAGGCTTCCAAGGCAGCTTCTTCCGCGCTTTCAACGGCTTTAGCCATATTATCGTCTGATAAACTGAAGCAATAATCGAAAGAGCTCTCTGATTCTTCCAACGAAAGATATCCATTATTGCCATCGCCCATGGTACTTTTCGAATCGATCGAGCTCTCATCACTAGAGAGGTTTAATTCGTCATCTAGCGCTTCAGCATCGGTTTCGCTTAAATTTACATCTTCATCTTCATCTTCGCACACATTGGATCTTGTTTGTTTGAGATACGATTTCCACCTATCTTCGTCCTTTAAAATTTTCTTTTTCAGCTGAAACGCATTCTTTTGATGCTTCTTGGACTTTTCATGGTTGTTCCATTGGCTTTCCGACTTGAAGCTCTTATTGCAGGCAATACATTGATGTATTTCTTCCTCTTCAGCTAAAGACGCCCCAGAATCTGAATCTGCATTTTCAGAAAGATATTCTTCGGCATACATTGCAAAATATGCCTCATAAGCGTCTTTCTCTTCTGTATTTCTCCAAAGGATTTCATCGTTTTGCTTCTTGTGTGCAGATGGGGCCTTGGATTCTTTTTGAGCTTTGGCCGATTTTGACGCCAATTTTTTTTCCGATTCTACTTTTAGCCAATGCTGATATCTGGGATCTCTTTTTTTAATAAAAAGAGCCAAAGACCTGATCGTGGTAATGTATTCCTTTTTCTTTTGGTCGGTTTCTTTTTTTCCCTCCTTCTCAACATAACGCCTGTGTCCCCGGTTTTCGTAGGTGCTATATGAGGCATAAGCTTGGTCCGAAAAGGATCTAACAGAATTGAAATGAGTCCATTTGTCATAGAATTGCTTGACAGATGGGATAAAGGGTGTGTTTGAGTCTCCGAATGATGTAATAGTGATTCTATCTGCTGATTTTTGAGCCTTCTTTAAAAGCTGATTCTCAAAAAACTCCATCTTCTGAAATAGGTCTCGGTAAACCGTGAAAAATCCATTTGCTTGATCCGAAAATCCCTTGAATGCGCTTCCAGGTGAAAAATAGGGCATTAGATCAGAAGTGTCAAGGAATTGGCTTTCATATCCTGTGTTTGTTTTAGAGGCGTGAAGAATTTGCTCCCTGTGCTGATCATACCACTTTCGTTCGTGTGGGTCACTGAGCACGCTATAGCAGTGTTGAAGATGTGCAAATTCATGGGTAGCTTCCTCTAATCTATGGCTGTTCTTATCTGGATGTAGTTGGAGTGCTTTCCGCTTATATGAGGATCGTATCTCTTCTATGGTGGAAGACCTTGGGGTCCCAAGCACCTCATAATAGCATTTGCTATTACTGAGCATCTTAAAATTAATTAGCTAGCTACAAATTATTAATTAATTAATTAGGGAAATAATTGTGCCACTAAATAGTCAATTGGTCTTTTCAAAATAAAATTTACAACTTCAACATGTGAAGCATGATATGATCTGCAATTAAATCATTGATTTGCCAAAATGCTAAGAAAGCTGTTTTCTAATTTTTCTCGTCAAATGGCAACAACATCTGCAATTCATGGGAAAAAGGTTGCTGTGATTGGCGCAGGCGGAGGGATAGGTCAACCCCTCTCCTTGCTTTTGAAAGGCACGCCATCAAGCATCTCCAAGCTCTCTTTGTACGATATATGCAATATGGGTATGGCTACAGATTTATCGCACATACCCACCCCTGTGGAGGTTAATGGATACTCTGGGGATGATAATCTGTTGGATGCCCTTAAAGGATGCGACATCGTTGTCATACCTGCAGGGGCTCCTCGAAAGCCAGGCATGACTAGAAGTGATCTTTTTAACATCAATGCTGGGATTGTTAAGAATCTGGCAGTTTCCTGTGCCAAGTAATTGGCTTCACCCATTTATCTTTAGATCATGCCCCAACGCACATATTTTGATCATTTCTAATCCTGTTAACTCGACGGTTCCCGTTGCCTATGAGACTATGAAGAATGCGGGAATTTCCAACCCAAGGTAAAAAGCGATCCATTGTTTTTTTAGCATATTTGGGATCACAACGCTCGATGTTATTAGAGCCGAAACTTTCATTGGCCAACTTAAGGGGCTCGATCCTACTTCTGTGAAAATCGATGTGATCGGTGGGCACTCGGGAAAGACCATAATTCCTGTGCTGTCATCATGCTCCGTTTGCTTTGATGACATTGGTAAAGAGGAAATTAAGAAGCTTATCGAGCGAATTCAATATGGCGGCGACGAGGTTATAAAGGCCAAAGACGGCGGTGGATCAGCAACCCTATCAATGGCGTTTGCCGCAAACAAGTTCATTCAGAACTTTATCAAGGCCTTAGACGGCCAAGGCGGAATAGTGGAGAGTACATTTGTTAAAACGCCAGAAGGCTCATCCGTATACCCGACCTCTTACTTTGCCGGTCCTGTTGAATTAGGTCCGAAGGGCATTTCCCGTGTTCTTCCCCTGCCAAAGCTCAATAGCTATGAAAAGGAGATGCTAGACATCGCTATACCCGAATTGAAGCAGAACATTGAACAGGGCATTAACTTTGCCCAGAGCAAATTATAAAAATTGCTGGAAATAAAATAAAAGTTTCCAAGTAACAATTCAATTTATTCTCAATTGTGCACCGTTAGTACTGCACGATATCTTATGGTTCCCTTTCGAACTTTTTCAATTGCCTCATTGACCTTGTCAATGCCAAATTCTTCGATAGTTGGGTAAATAGAGTGCGAATGAGCAAAGCTCAGCATCTCGGTCATGCCTTTTTTTCCAAGAATTAAAGAGGACATAATTTTTCTATTGAAAGAAACTAGCAAGGACGGAGTAAAGCCGATTTGCTTTGCAGGCAAGGCAACAAGGGTTAGAGACCCATCAAATTTTAATGTTGACAACAATCCATCGATAGATTCCAACCCATGGCTACTTGTGACAAGCAGATAATTGAAAGATAGGGCAAAATTTTCCAATTTATCTATCAAAATAAACGATTCAGCCCCCAAATCCTTTGCTTCCCGTTCTTTTCTAGGAGAATGAGATATTGCAGAAACACGATGACCTAATGCACGACTAAATTGAACAGCCAAATGGCCAAGGCCACCTATTCCAACAATCCCGACCGAAGAATTTTTCGGAATGCAACGTAAGGGAGAAAACACAGTTGCACCGGCGCACAATAGTGGAGCTGCTCGAGACAAATCCATCCCATCGGGGATTTCAATAGCATATTCCTCGTTTACCAAGACTTGTCTAGGAAGTGATGAAAGAAACATTACCTGGCATAACCACCATATGTGATGCTTCCATCAATAAATTTGTCAGAATAGGTAAACACCCGTTTAGAGCAGAGAGGGTCTTTATCTGCTTGGCAGTTGGTGCACGACCCGCAAGAATAAACCTGCGGCCCTACTCCGACAATCGAGCCTATGGGATGCTTGCTAGAGCCGGATCCTTCGGCAACTCGACCAATTATTTCATGGCCAGGAACAACAGGGTAAATTGACGAATTCCAGTCATTATCAATTACATGAATATCTTCAATTAACATGCGAGTATACCTGACCCGCAGATCCCGGAATAAAGGATATCAATGAGTACATCACTTGCAGTAATTTCCCGGGTCTCATAATCCCAAGGCTTTAGGGTATCTCCCTTATCAAGAGCGGCGTAGCAGGAAACCGAAACCGTACTAGGCGACATCAGTGCAATTGGCAAAAAGGGAAACTTTATTTTTCAATCTCGCTCCACATTTGGTACAATTTACACGGGCCCATTAAACACAGCCATGGTGCATTAAAAATTGCTTGCAATTTTTTTCTAAAAAGACCGGTTTAGATTAAATGTTGTAACTTTGGTTGACTTTAGGGTTTGATTGTGATTTCAGTGATAGTATATTCCAAGTGCATAAATAAACGATTTACATTGTCCATTACCGTCTTTGATAAATTATCGTTTTCATCTAACCCAAACTCTAAAATAAAATTTTGAGCGAGATTGAAGCAACTAGCAATTATTATAAGGAATATCTTTCAATTCTTCAACGAAATGGGGTAAATTCAACGAATGGTTTACAGTAGGATTCCCATGTGCATTATTTTAGCTTGTAAGAGCCTTTGCATAGATGCTGGAGCCCATTTTATTACAGAGGGCCTGATTCTCTCGCATTTATTTCCCCGAACTTCGTGTATTTAGCTAGAAGATCGTCAAGAAATTCCATGGTCTTATGGTTTCAATCAGCTCCAAATAGCCTACATTCGAGTCATAGCATATTCTTTACGGATTACTTTAATTCATCATGTATTTCGTCCTGAAAAGAGGCTCCTTAAGTTGATTTTTTTCATCAGCACTAGCATCAATTGAGGGGAAAACGAAAAGCGCAATCAAAGCTATCAGAAACAGGAGTTTTTCTGCGCCCATCGAAATGGAAAGTTTTCTAAAGGGCTCTTTAGAATGCTATTAAGACTTTTGTACCGGAAGGTTTGCGGCCACTGAGAATATCAATTCACTAGTTAAGAATAGGGTTAGTTCCATAGGCAAATTTAATTATCAAGTTGTTTTTTTGCGTATTTCATTGGCCAGATAATCAAGTGTATTCAAAGTGGTTAAAAATAAAAGTAAACTGATCAAGCACATGTACAATGTATTTTTGATACAACCAGATATATTATAAATGGTTGATGCACAGCAAAGCTACCTGTATTGCGAACAAAGAAAGAGTCGAAATGCATTATAGGTGTCATGGGTTAGGGGTTGCATAAGACTTCAAACAGGCTGCAGCATAGATGATTCTCAAACCTAAACTAAAAAAAACCCAATCCCAACATAACAACCTACCAAAATATCACCATTTCCACAAGAGTTTGAAAGAAAGTTAACCTCTGCCGCCTAATAGGCTTTGGGAGACATCTACAAGAACCCAGAAGAGCATCCATTATGGGTAAAACCTGACGTGACCTGGTCTGATTATCTAGCCAAAGCAAACATCGAAAAGTAATTACATGCTGCTGATTCGTCAGTTTATTTAGGGTTAGTTAAACATTACATGTGTCAGACTAGACTAGATCCACGCTGTGATTACCTGACTCCCAATGGCTATAGCCCTGTGTACAGCTTAAATCACAGAATATTCTAGCTAATTGTATCTTTTCCAGTGGTAGATGGTATTCTTGGTTTTTAGGTGTGTGGCTAATGGATTAATTATAATTCACACACCAATGTTAAATTTATTACACTTTAATAAAAACGCATGCGATTCAGGGTTAAAAGACGAATTTTTATTTTAACCGCGCAATGATCTTTTCTAATGGGTTGTTTCTGCTATTTCTCTGTCTATATAAGATTTCTGTAATCTCAACTGCAAACGATGAATTTCCCAATTTTCCGCCTAAAACAGGAGATGAAACTGAAAAAGTGACCCTAAAGTATGTGATAAAAGGAACTTTTTCTGAAATAACCTGTTCCGAAAATAGCGAAATACATTTGGCGCATCTGTTGCTGGATAAAATGTCTATTGATAAATATAGCCCAGACGTAGTAAAATCTATTGAAATGACGCAATCTAAGAAAGAAGAGCTGATGCGTGTAATAAAGGGAAATTTTCTCATTAAAGAGATTTCGAACGCGTACAAACCAGCTTTTACTGAAAGAGAATTTTCGATTCAAAACAGTCTTGTAGATAAAAGGATTGTTCGTGCTCATGGTAAGAGTAAAAATATGATATTTATGGAATATGTAAAAGGTTGCGATTTATTTAATAAGCCTCAATCTTGGAGAGACAATTTAAACATATTCGCTTATATTTTCAAAGAAATTGCTGAAGGTGTTAAATTTATGCATCAAAATGGGATTGTGCATGGGGACTTGAAGCCTGAAAATATTTTGGTATCAAAAAAAGGGGATGTTAAAATCGCAGATTTTGGTGGAGCTGTGGAGATCAAAAGAGCTAATGCCAAAGGTGCCAGAGGAACAGAAAGAACTGATTTGGGCGAAACCCCATATTCAATTGAAGAGTATTCTTTTATTATTACCGAAAAACTTGCTGCACCAGAGCTTATTGACCAAAAGTCTGTGAAGCCAAAAAATTTAAGGACATAGTTATCGGCAAAAAAAAGGTTACATCAGAATGGAGCACGCTAAATAGTGGAGAGTTAAATTTTGATCTCAAACTTGATGATTTTCCCACCAAAAAATCTGATGTCTTCTCCTTTGCAGCTACTGCTGTTAATTTCTTTCTAATTAAAAATGGAGCCAGGTACGACCGTAATTATTATGCTTTTAAAGATGAGCAAGAAATGGATCAAAGCTTACCTAGCAAATATGATGATATCCTTAATATACTAAAAAAATTTAATCTCAAGTTGGCCAACATCATTCATGAGGCTCTTGATCCATCTCCTGAGAAAAGACCCAATATTGAAGAAATCCTCGAATGTCTCAAAAATGCAGACTGTTGCACCGAAGATCAATTCAAAAAGTTTGCTGCAGAAGTTGAAGAGCCTAAAATGATTCCTTATAACAAACGATCTAATAATGATTCAGGAAACTCGGATTTTGAAAAAAATTTCGAAAAAAAGATTGCGATTATTCCTTAATAAAATTATCTTTTTAGGTGTTTGCCATGGGAATTGGCTTGAAAGGTCAAATTCTCTTTTCATGTGCACCTATAATTAAGTAGTCCATTTGGTGCTCTATTAGCAGTTTCGAAGCATTGTTGG